TGCGAATCTCGTATGACATAATCGTAGGCGAGATTTTAGTTCTTGCCTGAATGTAAACATTATGATACGATAATCTTATGGCGATTATTGCTTACGAGAATCGCATACGAGTTTTCGTCACGAAGCGTGCGAGAAACTCTCTCCATCTAAATGGGCCTTAATAGTAGTCTGATGAACTTCTGATGAAGTGGTCGAATTAGTATTTACTCGGATTACTGTATTTTCGTTATCGCTCTTCTCACTAGCACTCATTTTCATGACCAAAATCATTGACTTACAATTATATGGACGTCGGGTCCGCGCTAAAAAGTGTCCGAACTTATAGGGCGTTAAAATCGTATACAGAACGTCATTCACGCTTTAGTCTTCGTTTGTTCGACTGACAGCGAAGCGAGCAAAATTAGACAGTACTGCGATGACATTACAATTTAAATTCAAGGTTTTAGCTTTTTCATATTCCTGTACATGTCACTACGTTTAAATAGGTTGACTTGGGACATTTTTTTCGTGGTTTTTGTATTAGACCCGTCTTCCAGTTATTTGTAAGTCAATGACCAAAATACAAAAAAGACGAAGAAACAAAAGAATACCAAAATACTTTTTTTTATTAATAATTTTGGCTTGGATACAAGTCCTTTGAGCCATATCTTCGTTTAATTATGTTTCTGTAAATATGGCCGCCACAAAGAGGATAAGCAATTTGAGGCGGCGTGCTTGGATTGACTCGGGATTCGTTAGAACGGGCCAATACGGGTATTTTAGTTCGAGATTCGTATAATTTCGCGTTTTAATCTTCGATTAAGGCACAATAGCACTATCCTATTCCACTTTAAACTAGATTTCGCATAATCTCAGTACAGAGTACTAAAAAACACGACCTCAAAAGTACGTGGAATTACGTATATTTGCTAAGTTTTATTGAAATATCCCTAGTTCGCCACTATACAGGACTTGACACTGGAGATAATAAAAATCGGTTCTCACTACTCAAAGTATATCCAGAGAAAAACGCCTTGAATTGGAGAAATAGCAAAATAAACCATTAAAATAATTGCTCCTAAATTAAAGTTAGGCGCTATTTATAAAAATGAATCTTTATGCGTGAACAGCCACCCTTAGAGGTGGATGATTTTCTTCAATATAAAATGGGACCACTATGGAAGTACCCCCTTTCCAACAAAAAAAGGATCATGAAAATCGATTCACAAACACCGGAGTTATCGCGTAACGTACATACAAAAAAAAAGAACATACAGTCGAATTGAGAACCTCCTCCTTTTTTTAAGTCGGTTAAAAATAATTGAAAGTCAAAATAAAAACGACACTTTTCCTCCAAAAGGCCCAGAGCGAATCCCCAAAACACTTTAGTTTAAATGTTACCGCCATTTCCTTTTTTTTTTTAAATAAGCAGTACAGGTAGGTATTTTAATTCTCGCAATCAGAACACTGGGCAGTTGGCTGTATGAGTTTTTCTTTTGCCTGCTTACATAGTTCATTATTAGTAGGTAGATTTAAAAGTTTAGAGAAGTCCGTATATGACAAAGTTTCCGTGTTTGTTTTTTGAAAGTAATGCAAACATTTCCGCGCATGTTTGAGAAAAATCTATTGTCACTGCTCATGCTCTAAAAGTACGACATAGCCTTATGTAGCAGGAGTAAAGTGCATCCTCGAAATTTTACAAGAAAACCGCTGTATTCAATAGATACGTTACATATACCAGTGATTTATTTTACATCACCTGAACAAAATGAAAATCGTATACTATATGCATTGACTTACAAATAAATGGACGACGGGTCTAATACAAAAACCACGAAAAAAATGTCCCAAGTCAACCTATTTGAACGTAGTGACATGTAAAGGAATATGAAAAAGCTAAAACGTTGAATTTAAATTGTAATGTCATCGCAGTACTGTCTAATTTTGCTTGCTTTGCTGTCAGTCGAACACACGAAGACTAAAGCGTGAATGACGCTCTGTATACGATTTTAACGCCCTATAAGTTCGAACACTTTTTAGCGCGGACCCGACGTCCATATAATTGTAAGTCAATTAATAATAATTTCGTTTGCAAAAAAATAAATTCTGAAATAAAGCCAGCGTCTCTGGCGCTCGACCCAAGCAAAATAAACCGTATTAGTATGGGAAAAAATGGAATTCGAGCTGAGGTAGTATATATAGACTTGGAGGGACACATTTAGCATTATAATCATTTTCAAGTTTAGTATTGTTACGCGGTCCCTCGCGCGCGCCCTCACCGGCGTCCGCATAACTTGTATAACCAAAAATGTAATTAATTGGAGTTAAAATTATACGGTTTCCACGTGGAATATCATTGTGTTATTAATTCGCCATGCAGAAGACCTAACATACGACCCTAAAGACTCTTAAAATAAGAACAGAAACAGAAAGCTTGCCTGTTGACATTTCGTAGGGTCACATACGACGCATCGCACTTGCCGCCACGCCGGATTGCAAGATTTAAACGTGTCCAACAGCCAGGTTAAGTCGTCGCCGATTAAAGTGGATATACCTGAAAAACAATAAAAAAAATTAACTGTCTTTTTCTTTGTCGTGATACTAAAGCAGGTATTCATATACTGCTTTTGCGACTGGTGTTGTTTTGATAAATCGACCCCTCCTACGTAAAGTATCGTATGTCGAAATTGCCAAGTTTACAGGGAAGTGTTTTAAAGTTTTGAATCCACTGAAAGGAGCACAACAGGCGACTTTAGCATTTTTCAGTTTTATTCGGCAAACGGTTACTCACACAGAGTATTCTAAAATCCTACATATCGGTTAGATGATCTATTAGATTAGCTTTGTCGTGTTATGCTCGTTTCAGTGAATTCAGAACTTTAAAATGCTTGTAAAATGTAAACTTGGTAATTTCGACATACGATACTTTACGTAGGAGGTGTCGAAATATGTGGGGAACCGCTTAAGTGATGGCTGCGTTTCACGTGACCATTACGAGAATAAGCCAGTGTGCATCCAGGGGGTCTACTCTCGAACTCCGTCGGACATCCGTCCGAAACAATTACTGCCAAATAAGCAATACTTGACCAAATGAAAAGACGCGAATGCGATGAAGCTTCATACTGAATACTTGTCTTTTAATTTTGTCGAATATTACTTATTTGACAGTAATTGTTTCGGACGGATGTCGGACGGAGATCGAGAGTAGCCCCCCAGGTTCGTGCCGTGGCTTAGTTGGCGTAGCATCTGACACGGTTTGCTAAAAGATCGGTTCGAATCCGGCCGGATGAAAGGAATGTTTTCTAAGTGTTCGTTCTTCGTATTAAAACTATTTGTTATTTGATTTTGATATTTTGAGTCAACATACCGATAATATACTCCCGGACACATAATTCGAGTCACCTCGCATTTTTGTCGTAAAGGGCTATAATACAAAAATAGTGTTATCATCGAAGAAAAAGGTTCCCCCAGGTTTTGCGAGTTCAAATTTCCAACAAGGACTTATGGAAAAGACTTTTAATATACTAGTTTCAAAATTGCGTACGATAATTCTTAATCAACCGACATAGTTTAAGCTTAGTGCATTTAATACTGATGCCAGGTGGCTGGAATTGTGTGTCCGAGAGTGTATAACATAAAAATCTTACCAGCCGATACAATCACAGATTTCCCATTGCCATCTTCAGCAAGGAACAAGGTGACATTATGTTTCACACTGGGACTGGCACCACCTCCTACTGTTGGAATTATGCTGTTGAACTCTATGCCTGTGGAATAAAAATTAGTATATTAGTTTCAGTGTGGGTTAAAATAGATCACTTCGATTGATATATAGAACAATAATCACAAGAACTGTATAGAATTTAAAACTATTATTATGGCTATCCACGTAATATGAATATTATATAATTAATCTAATTTTAATTATTGGATAATAATAAAGTGACAACACTATGCTCCGAGGACGTGTAAGCATTGGCGCGCCGCACACGGGAGTTAGACTACTTGCCTAATTATTAATTATTGTAAAACTCCATTAATGTTGAAAACACTTTTAATCTATAATTTTCAATGTTGACTCATTGAAATTATTACACAATTTTATTTAACAGATTTAGTTTATAATAAAAAACTCGCAAGTTGCGTGTGACGTGCATGGCTCCGCCATCTTGCCGTATTGCCGTACGAAGCGCGAAAGGCGAGGAATGCCGAGTGCGGCAAAATTGTGCTCGCTTCGAGTGCGGGTTATTATGGATTACCTATCAGGAATCCGAAATGACATTTTCTAGAATTAACGTTTGGTCGAAATTTCATAACTTCGAAAGTAATTTTGAGAGGAAAAGGTTTTTTCTTTTAAACCTAACTTAACAAGTTGTAATTATTTCTAATATTGTTTTTTTTATGGAACCTCAATGGTCAAGCTCAATTCACGACAAAAAATGGTCCAATTTTGAAACTTAGTTTTTAGTCAAATTTACTCCTTTTGCACGTTAACAGCAATAATTTTCTATTTATATTAGATACAATAAAGAATTATACCATTTTGAAATCTACTACTTTTACCGGGCACCCTGTATAAAAATATAATTTTATAATATTTCATGATTTATCGCCGTACTAACCTACCACAAAATCGAGAATTTTTTGTTATTAAATTATATCGCACTGTTATACTGCCTCCGTGGCCGAACGGTTACCATGCCTAACTGCCACGCAGAAGTCCCAGGTTCGATTCCCGGGCCGGGAGAAATATTTGTATGGCCTACATTTATTTCTCTAGTGAGTTTGGATGTAATTGGTGGTTGTCTATGTGAGTGTCCATGGCACCCGCGACACAGGGTTTCCCTAGTGCGGGGCTCTGTTGAGTGTGTGCGTTATTATTATTATTATTATTGTTATAAAACGATTTATTAAACTCACCAGTTTCGATGCAGAGGAACTGTGGTACTGCATTGAACGCTAACTGCATGCTAGGCGTGGTGAGGTACACGCATTGGATGCAGCCAGATTGAGAATGGAGAAGTTTGACACCAGCATCTGAAATGAGATTAAAAATGATTTTGAATTCTTTTTTTGTATGTATTTTGATGATTCTTTTTTTGTGGGGAAAAAGGGTACCTCAGTAGTGGTCCCATTTAAATTTGAAGAAAATGTTCCACCTCTAAGGGTGGCAAATAGATGGAATTCCATGAACTTTTGAGGCCGGTTTTTTTAGCACTCTGTGCTGTATTTTACACATGGAAATAGCAGCCAAATACAATATATTTATTAACACTGTTTTAGTTTTATTTACTTACCATAGTTAAGCTGTAACTTCCTAACAACGAAATCGTACTTCTGATTCAACCAACGTACGGCACCTGATCCAGCCGTCACTAGCTGATCTTCTGTAGTTATTATCTGGGCTTCCGATCTGACAAAATAATACATATAATATCATAAGACAAAGAGAGTAACTCTGCAGAAATAGTAGCGCGACTGGTATCCATGAGTACCCGCCGCGTGTCGTGTGCCGAAGTCATCGAGTATATAACCAGAAATCAAAACGAAAAGTCATATAATTTGTTCTCTGCCAAATGATTACGGTGACAAATGCGCTCCGATTAGCCAGCCCCAATTCGAAACAATTGACGGATGTCGTCAATTGTTTCACGTCAAATAGACCACTTTAACTTAAGCTATGTTATAATGGACGAAAATTGAAAAAATACATATTTAATATTTAATTACCGATGAAATGTGAGTCCATTTGTTTTGTAATTAGATGTTTGGCTGTTTTTCCCACAAAACTGAATGGAACAACCCCCATTGTTAGAGATATTATCTTTGTTAAAATAAATACAGAATATTTTTGGAATATACGGGGACGTACACACAGGTCAGTTGTTGGCGCTGTACTATTTCGTTTTCTAATTTGTTATTTCAGCGCAAACGAGAGTTGATATTTAAAAGTGATATAGAGCCCATTTGACTGATGAGTTGCCAGGTGGATGGCACTTATTTCGTCTCTGTTTCTGGTTATATAATCGATGACGGAAGCCCACATTCGCACGTTGCGCGGGTAGAGCTCCGTTAAGGTAGTTTTTCAACAGCGAGGCGAGGCGAGGCTAGACTAGGCGAGACGAGGATTGCCATTTTTATGAAAAAAAATTCAATTCTCTCCCAGCCCATCTTCGGTGGAAATGGGTTGGATTGAAATATTTGTTGATATTGAACTGTATTGCTGCACACATAGAGTATTAGACTTTTTAACAGAAACACGATTTCTCGCGATGGATAATAGCCATTGTGGAATACGTATTCAATTCAATTCAATTCATTTATTCATTCGTTATTACAGGTACATGATATAGATAGTAATAATAACGTACGAATCGAGATTTAAAAAAATATGGTTTCATCTGATTCTTCTTCCGTAAACATATTTAATAATAATCATTTACGGGACGTCTTACTTCAGCCTCGTATTTATCGTTAGAATGAGCTGAACAGCACTGAATCTTCACTATCCACAATCACAGCGCAAGGGATGTTTTCGATGGCTCGCGCGAGATTGCGATGGCTCGATAGGCGAAATTTATATCCTCGCGTCGCCGATGGAAAACTACCATTACTCGCTCGATGTTACGCGATAGGTGCCTACCGCTAACTGTATCGCCGGCTGTACAAGCGCTCAAAGGTTGTTGCACACCAATCTGAATGGTCGCACGACACGTTTCGTAAGAAAAATCGTCCCAATGTCATAATCGCGTAGTTATTGTTCAGTGGATGTGTGTAAAATTAATTATTGACAGTGATTTAAAATTCATCATCATCGTCATCAACCACTTAATCGTACCACTGCTGGGCACGGATCTCCTCTAATTGATACTGGTTGGGGATTTCACACGTTTCTCAAAGGCTCTGAACGTTTTGCAATGTGCAGCGTTCATCGCGATGTTTTCCTTGGAATGTGCCGTACGGCCATTCAGATGTGCATGCAACATCCTCTAAGCGCTTGTACCGCCGGCGATAGACTCAGCGGTAATACTTATCGTGTTCATAATACTTCTTTTTACAACCCTTTGACGAGAATGTGTCGGACCTACAATGACCTTATGGTTGATCCTGGCGATGATATTTTAGAGACGGATATATTTGATAGTAATTTTAAAAGGCTTCGCAATTGAATCCACAAGCACCACAGTTTCTCTCTTTCATAATTATAGTCATAGTAATTCTATTTTATTTAAGGTTACAGTTTTATTATGCTACTTAGGCCGTTTTATTAATATATTGTGACAAAATTGTTCACTCATGATTGGTCATGGCGTATGTACATGTTTAGGTTTACATTCTAGAGTAGAATTAGCAATAATGTTTAAGCTTTTGTTAAGGAGTGAATGTAAACCGTTTTGTAAATCTAATAAGTAAATTACTGCACTCGAGCAAATCTTTAAACATATAAAAGTTGTCATTTTACAGATGTGGCCTTATTACACGCAATGTGGATTGTCAAAGCACAAAATACTTCAAGGAATCGTAGAAGTATTGCGTATAGATTTAGTAGCAGTAGACCTTCTTGTGCGAGTTCATCCTAGGTAGCACTGCCACCTTACCTATTTCTGCCGCCAAGCAGAAATGTCAGCATTACTGTGTTCCGGTTTTGAAGGGTAAGTGTGCTGGTGAAAATACAGGCACATGGGACTTGTCAACTTATGTCTCAGGGTGACGGACGCAGTGGTAGTGCCCCTCAAATCTTTGCAATCTAAAGCTCTGAGTGGCGCTGTAACTGTTATGGACTGGCATGTAGTGACATTGCGTGCACGACTTGTTCGTCCCGTCACTTGATATTATAAAAAAAAGATAAATACCTGTCATTATCAGCTGCAGGCGGATTCTCAATAATAGCAACTTCATACTCTTGTTGTCCGTCTACTTGTGCATTACTGCTTATCTCGTATTGCTGATATGTTGTTGTTTGCTCTTCCACTTGTTGCTGGAACGAAAGATGAATAATTACTATTGCTATTTGCAAACACGGTGATACTGAAAAACTGTCTGCTCAAAATTTTGTTACCCACAAAAACAATTTTTTACATAAACGCAATTAATGTTTTTAATTAGACTATAAAATTTTGTACTTTGGCTTTTAAGCTCTTTTTACACCAAAGTATCGAGTGGCGCTGAAAAGGTAAAACATGGATTTGTAAATTATAACAGGAGAGCGTATAACTAAATATAACAAGCCATATCTCTAATTTTATTTGTTATATGGAAAACTAGAAAGTTTCAGCTTTTCCATATATATTTTTTAAAACTAGTTTTAAGACGCCTGAAACGTTCGGGCGTTTATGTCGGCCTCGTAATGTATGTATACATATAAATAACTATCCTACTTTATATCTACTACTCCCACAAGAGGTATTGCTCCTCATCGGAAAGGAAGACCTCACTTAGGAGTACAGACCTTCAGCCTACTTCGTCAACAGGATGCTCAGAATTAAATTTAGCTCTCCTACCTGACCAATGCATTTTAATTGATATTGGGCCCGACATCACGCATATTGATCACATTCCATTAAAGGAAGCAAGTCTTCCAACTTGTTACAGAATTGGCATTAAGGGGATTCTGCCCTTCGTGTGAGATAGTAAAATTTATTTATTGGAATGTGACCAGAATGCAGTCCAAGAGCAATTATTAACAGTGACTTTGATAGGCTACCCTCCTCGAACTTTACCATATGATAAATAAAATTAGTTATGATTTTTGTTTTAAAAAAAACTACTTTAAATCTCTCTCCTGAAATCTTTTCCAAATGCATATTACACATTTAACCTTTCCGGTGTTGATATATACTGTTTCTTTCTCTCCTTTTACAACCATGTGCACTCTTTCTTCTCTCCCTCTTTATGACTTAACGATGCGTTGCTTTCTCAAACACGTATCTCATAAAGAGTGATTATTCAGGACATGGCAAAAAATTATTTTTATTTTAAATTTCTTATCAAGGGCGTTAATTTAGATGCACTACTTTAAGAACAGGTAAAAGCCAGTGTGTGACTATGAAGAAAACGTGATGTGAAGTCAGCCTGCAAATTTGTATAATACAATGCATTTGTTACTTTGTGCTTTAAGATACGAGTTTGAGAAAGTTAGGCGACATTATCTTTCTCTTCATAACTATATATGCATACTCTCTCTCTCTTTTTTATACTACACTCTATTTACGGCAATGACCAATGGAAAATATTCCATTAATTTATAAAATTCTTTAGTCAAGGAGATATAAAGTCAGTCAGTCATTTAATAACACGACCAAAGCATCTATAAAAAAATATTGCAATTAATAAAGCGACGTCTCTTGTCAGTCATTAGTAGCTTTAAAAGTACCTGGCTGTAAGTAAAATATAGACTTTCATATCATTACCACAGGCTATGGCAAAAAAGGTGTTATTACCAAAAACAAAGTTCTGCAGCCAGTTCACTGAGAAATACGTAACTGACTCATTTCGTAGCTCAGTTGGAAGAAAATATTTCTTTGAGTTCAAAACAACAAAATACTTTATTAAATAAATATTTTTAAGTCACTCTCACAATACTACTTACATTACTAACTTCAGCAGCATTCTGGACAAAAGTCCCACCTTCCTCTTCAGGTTCTCCTTTGACATCGTAAATACCCTCAGTCATAACGATACGCCCTGACTGGTCCATGGTCCACATGCCTCCAAAGGCAAAGTTTGACGGGTTACCACTTTGCTCGTACAGTATTACCGTATTTGGGCCTAATTGGACTGGTTCCCCTGGAATAATAGGTTTAGGATTCGTAAATGTTTCATTTACGTAACAAAATTTAAAATAATTACAAATTAAAATTTGTTTCTATTGAGCTGGCCAAATTTGAGATCTATTTTAGTTTTTCTCATCTGGGATGGCCTAAACAATCAATTTAAGAGCGCGGTGATAAAATCAGGGGTTTATGTTCAAAACGCAGCATACAATAGGTAGTTTTCAACAGCACATCTTTCTGCATTTGTTCTGTAAGCAATAGGCCACTGAAATTGATCCGGTTCTAGCACGACTAGTTATTGTTATTGTTAAGTAGCCATGTTCGGGGTAGGTGCACATCTTCCTTATTGTAACCAATAATGAAGGGTTGATCTATAGTGCGTCAATAAACAACAGAATTAAAATTAATTGTAACTTTGATAGTAGTCTATGCTGTGAATAATGAATAGAAAGTCAAGGTTATTAGTTGAGAATAAGCTATTGTTGTAAAAGTCGGTATTAAAACCGATATGGATATATGCTTTGGAGTTGTGGGGATCAGCCAGCACTGCCAATGTGGAAATTTTTCAGCGCTTCCAAAATGGTGTACTAAAGACTATAGTCCAATCACCTTGATTTGTAAGAGCACAGGAAATACATGACTATCTTAAAATACAAACTATTAAACAGGAAATACTAGCATGTAAAGAAAAGTTGATTATTAGTGTCTTGATTATCACTACATACAAATGTATTGGCAATATCTCTGGTTGACGAAAATAGTAATAATAATAGAGTTTAAAATAAACATAATAATAATAATAATAATAATATAATAACGCACACACTCAACATAGCCCCGAACTAGGGAAACCCTGTGTCGCGGGTGCCACGGACACACACATAGATAACCACAAATTACACCCAAACTCATGAGAGAAATAAATGTAGGCCATACAAATATTTCTCCCGGCCCGAGAATCGAACCTGGGGCCTGTGCGTGGCAGTCCGGCATGATAACCGTTCGGCCACGGAGGCAGCAAAGTGGCTTGAGTCGTTTGAAAAAGTCAAGAATATTGGAAAGTTGTGTCAGTAGAACACAATCAGCCATTTAATGAATAAGGAAGAAAAGACTCGCAGGACTCTTTATTCCAAACGACATATAACTACAGCATGGATCTGTTTACGGTTCAAGGACCTGTTCGCAGATGGATACAAAATTTTAAAAAAACTTGATAGTTTTACCTCATCTTGTTCATATACATTTTTTTTAAGTTACCAAGTAACGGTTTAATCAAGTCATACGCCTGGTTATAAGCGACTTGCATGTCTATAGCAATTACAGTGCCACTCAGAGCTTTAAATTGCAAAGATCTTAGGGGCACTGCCACTGAAATCGTCATACCCTGAGACATAAGTTTATAAGTACCATGTGCCTGTAATTTCACTAGCACCCTTCAAAAGCAGAATGCAATAATTTAAATAGCCTTTGTGGCCAAACGGTTACCATGCTGGACTGCCACGCAGAGGTTTCAGGTTCGATTCCCAGGACGGGAGAAATATTTGTATGGCCTTTATTTATTTCTCTCGTGAATTTTGGTGTAATTTTTGGTTGTCTACGTGTGTGTCCATGACACACAGGGTGTACAGGGTTTTCTTAGTGCGGGGCTATGAGTGAGTACGCATTATTATTATTATTATATATTACTGCTTGGTGGTAGAAATAGGTAAAAGGCAGTATTTACCTGGTCAAACTCTTTCATAAGAAGCCCTACTGCTGCTGAGTTTGTACATTATACAATGAACAAAGTTAATGTAATATAATAAGTTCACATGCAAAATAGGCCTTGACGTCGAGTTGCGGACACCAGCCCGTTACACCAAATACCAAGTAATATAATAAGTTAAATAAATTATGCTATGATTACAAAAATTGAGTATTTATACTAAATAAAGATTAAGAAACAATGGCTTAGACTATAACTACACGACATTTATGCATAACGACGTTATCGAAACCACAAAACAGTAGTCGAAATGCAGCTTAGATAAAGTCGGCGCGAGTGCATGCTACCTACACTAAAGCAATAGTGGTTAAGACTACAATTGTTCCACAATCTCGCCAGTAATAAAAACCCTTAGCCATTTCAATAATCTACAATGCTATGACAATCAAAAATATACCCTTCATGTTGACAAAAACGGGTTGCTCGAAATTGCCTTCCACCAATTGTCCAGTATGGACTATCTGCTGTCCCTGCTCCACGGGCACCTCCACAACCTGGTTCACCACCTCCACTTTCTCCTTGTCCTCATCAACCTTCCGATTTACCATAATTTTTACTTTTTTTTCACTCTCACTTGGTTCATCACTTTTACGCTTAATAACAGTTTTTTTCTTCTGTTTCTTGTCCATGTTTATTTATTTACTTAATTAAATTGCACTAAAACGCTTTTGTGTACGCTTTTGACGCGATAAATGCGAGATTTTCGAGTTTCCAAATCATGTTTGCTAAAGCTATGTTTTTTAACATTATTATATAAAATAACAAGTTATATTGAATTTGTAATAATATTTACGCTTATATTAAACAATATTACATAAAAGTTATTTTAAATATTTAGTGAACCGTGTTTTTATAACTGTAAATGGGATAAAATTCAAACTACGGCTTGTGCGAAAAGGACAACTCAGAGAGACGCCATTTTTGTCGATACCATTAGTGACGCGCTGATACGCCTTTTTAAACTCAAGGAACATCGAAAGATCGTAAAAACTGTCATTGCCCATTAACTTACCAATAACGTAAAACGTTATTAGAGTGTTTAGTATTGAATATCAATATTGAATACACTAGTCATTTTGTGAAAGATAAATTATGTTCTTTAAGTTCAGTTCTATGATATTTGATAAATCGACACCAAATTGTACTTTTGTCGATAAATTACTGAAATAGCGCCTCACTCGACTTTGTGACAGACTTTGGAATTGCTATTAATAATTTCGTTCAGAAATTTTCTGATAACGCTTTTCTTCCGATGTTTGATTTTGAATATAAATGCAAAGTACAACAAAGACAATCATATACTTTTTTGTAGAAAGGCTTCCGTTTTCGTATGTAGAAACTTGTAACAAATACTTCAAAAAAGATGCACTTTGACATTAGTCGCATGACCTGACCCACTTTGATAATTTCAGTGTTTACAAATCACCTGCAAATTAAACGATTACTAGGAAAACTTTTTCGCATGACTCACGAAACATTACAAAACTTATTATTTATGCGTTACAAAGCGTATTATTCATGCTTGTCCTCAATACTTTGTCGATTCTCCTACAAGTCGCGTTCATTGTGTTTATGAGTTTAGTTTCTATGAATATAATAAGACAGTTCAGTGGTGCAGCAAGAAAAATGGCTTTAATTGCTCCAGCGTTATTCGTTAATCACGGTGGCGGACCCCTACCCTTACTAGGGGACAAGGACCATCAGGAACTTACAAATTTTTTACGCGATGGTGTAAAAAAACACGTTAATTTAAAAGAAATAAAAGCTATAATTCTGGTCACCGCTCATTGGGAGGAAGACGTCGTGACGATATCCTCAGGTACTTTTTTGAATTGTATTATTCGATATTAAAAAAAAAGTCAAAATCCAATTTCTGTTTTCATAGTGTCCCTTTCATAAAAAAAAGCCCGTTTTTGTAGTTACAGTTTTTTTAATAAATTTTTTTATTTATGTATTTATATGTTTTGAATTTCATAATTGTTTGGTGGTTGTTTAGCTGATGGCTCTATAGCTCAACAAAAAAAGAAATAGATTATACATGACAGGCAAGCATTGTTTTACAAATGACTTCACTCCACCTCATGCTAACGAACCAAATAAAGTGTTAACCAGTCACGGGTCCATGTACAATCATTAAAAACATGCAGTTTCTCTAATGATTTTCATAATGTGGTGTCTTAAAAGCCACACAATGTGTCTAATGCGCACATGTGTTCCCATCCACCATTAAAAAATAAATGTAATTTATAAAATTTTAAAAATCCTACCAAAATTGTTACGGACACACATATCGTAATAGGACCCATAACTGGTTCAGAACAATAAGTAATAAAATATATTAACCTATAATTCAGAAAATTAACCATTGTATTATTAGTATTATATAAATGTTATATTAAGTACTTAATGTTTGTTGAAAATTCATAACTAACTGTTTTGTGGAATCGCATAAAGTTTTCGGAAAAAAAAAATTACCTTTCTATAATACACAAAATACAACCTAATATATATTTTTTGTAATCTTGCTAATTTCTTTGATTATCAGGTGAACATCACAATTTATACTTTGATTACTACGGTTTCCCCCCTGAGTCCTACAAATACAAGTACGATGCACCAGGAGACCCAGATCTAGCGAAACGTATTCATGAGGCATTGAAAATTAATGGTATTAAATCCAAGTTAGACCCAAAAAGAGGATGGGACCATGGAGTTTTCGTTCCAATGATGTTAATAAATCCATCTGCAGATATTCCAATCGTACAAGTGTCTGTATTGAGTAATCAAGACCCAGAAGAACATTATAATCTTGGTGAAGCATTACAGCCTTTCCGTAAAGAAGGCATAGCTATCATAGGTTCCGGTATGTCATATCACAATATGAGAGAATTTATGTACGGGAGAGAGAGACGTGAAGTTGTTAATGCAGAATTTGACAACTATTTATATCAAGTATGTACATCGGAAGAACCGAAAGAAAGGAAGAGAGGGTTCATATCTTGGAGACATGCAAATGGAGCTACAGCTGCGCATCCGATAAGGGCTGCAGAACACTTTATGCCTTTGGTGGTTGTAGCAGGAGCAGGAGGATCTAAACCTGGTGAACGGATTTTTAATTGGGATATGAGTGCTACATTTAGACTAAGCGGGTTTATTTGGAAAGATGAATAGTTTGGTAAATTGATTTTACTTTTGAGTAAACAGTGTTATCGTTTGCAAGTGCTTAATATGTTTGATATTTTTTATATTTTTAAATATGTGCTTCGGCATCCGACATCCAAATCAAAAGATGCAGAGTTTTTGCATATACGGTTGTTTTACAAGTCGCAACAAGACAAAAATTGCTGAGCTTACATTTATTTACAAACTTTTTCTTTTGATGATAGATCAGCTCTATTTGCATAAAATTGTTTCTATGCCTTCTGTCTTTCATCTCTTTAAAAAAAACATCTAAAATTATTATCTTTTAAATACACATTAATCCACATATATTATCAAAAAAAAATTTCACACATCCGCATCTGTAGATTTCAATGACGAAAAATTCAGATCCCTGGTCTAAACCAATATCCCACGCGAGCACTAACGACTCGATAGTCGGTAGTGCTCGCGTGGGATATTGGTGTCGATGATGTCTTAGTAAAGGCACTAATATAATGTACAAGGTAAAGGTTAACGTTATTAAGAAGAGACGTTTTGAAGAGATTTGTCGTAGAGTGTTGTAGCATGATCTGAAAATGTATTAAACAGCTGATATCTGCATCATCCATGTCATAGTATAAGACAGTAGTGTAAATTCATACAAACTAGGAGCCCAACCTTTAAGTGTGTAAACCTGTCACGCGCCGTGTACGGACGGACGCACGCATTCGCATATTCTCACAGTGCACCCAAGTTACACAGCGCGGATCGGTGTTTTAAAAAATGACGTCAAATGGTAAACCTGTTCATGGTTGTTGTTAATTATTACCTTTATTATTATTATTTATAGGCTTAGGCCAGTGTTAGTTTCGGTATATGCAGACAGTTAATATTGATAAAGAGCGCCAACGTTAAGACAGCAGCGCGGCTTGTGTGTGTGCAGCATGCCCACCGCGCGTGACAGTTAGTTTGAAAGCGTTTACACTATAGTAGAATAAAACAATTAGGGCAACTCCGCACAAGTCACACAGCCACCGGAACAATGAATTTATTGCAAACCAAATTTCCCGATCGCATAATTTCACGAAATTCAGCCGTTAAGTGGCCAGCTCGATCATGTGATTTAACACCGTTGGTTTGTTTTTTATGGGGCTATGTTAAAGACCGTGTCTATACGGAGCCAATCGAATTACATTCTTAAAGCTCAAAATTCGTGAAGTGATTAACGAAATAGACCCACTAATTTGTCAAAAAGTTATTAAAAACTTTGATGAAATAATAGACTTCTGTAACTGTAGTCGTGGTGGACATTTATCAGATATAATTCTTTATTCATAATTGCCAAACCTTACTTTTTTTAATACAATAAAAATTTTAATAATTGTCATGTAGATTTATTGTTTTTTTTTTGATTTACAAACAAAGCTCTTGTTGAAAAACCATATAGTAAAACACGGGTAGGTGACTGTCGTTCACGACTTTTTGACGTTACAACGAAGGACTGGCGTGACAATGGGAAGAGCTAGACCGACAGTCGTCAGTCGATAAATAAAACGTCACGATAAAAATGCGTCGACAGATATTCGCGGCTTCAAACGATTCTGTCTGCACGACAAGATGGCTGCCGTAAACCAATAAATTGTCACGATCCAGTGGGGACAGCTAGACACGACAGTCGTTCAACGATAAAATAAACGTCCACGACGATATTTATTATTATTTTACTACGTTTATACTTTAAACTTTAAGAAAAAAATACCAAGATGATGATCATGGATGCTTTGGATTTGTTAAAAAAATACAAGGTATAACTGCGTTCGCTCGATGTTTAAAAAGTGACATCAAACAGTAGATAAATATGTCTACCATTTAATGTCATTTTGTTGTGTTTTAGTTGTTTGAACAAGAGTGCCTCATATTTGGAGAAAATTCAGAATTGTTTAGCGTTTTATGTCTATTTTATAATCATACGCGCATAATTGAAATACCTACTTTACCTATCGATATACGTACGATATATCAAGTTTCTTAATATTCATACCTACCTTTATTGATTGCCACATAGTTTCACAAAAATGTTATTAAAATATATTACAGTATTCACACATGTGACACCCATCAAGGACGCCGCAAAATCAGGAGAGCACTACAAATTATTAATTACAAAATTATAAATATCACTACAAATTACTAATATTGTTTGTTACATGTTTAAGATGATGGTTGTATAGCCAAAGCTCAATAAATATCTTTATATACGGCCTTCCGGCGCAAGTCTCCATTACCGCCCCGCCCTTAGTATAAAATGTTATGGACAAAGAACCTTCAGCTCGCAGTTTAAAAAAGTAATGCCATTTTGGTCACCAAACGAAAAGGGAATGATCTTGTGTTCATGGGGGTGCCAATTATTTATTTTTCACAAATAAAGATGCCACAAATCCTTCTGTAGACATAAGTACAAGTTATTTTATTTTCTATAATGTTGTTACAAAAATATAGCTCTTAGAATAATGGCCCACTTTGAATTATGCTTTTTAATATTTTAAAGGCGAATACCGAACACTTAAAATAAGTAACATGAACAAGGGCAGTACTAACTTTTTATGAACAATTTTTTTCTCTTAATAACACACTAGGTCACACTAAGTTTAGTATATAATGTCACAAAAAATTCAACATCAGCAATTAGCACTACGCTAACTCGTAATTTGTCAATTATGCGTTTTTTTTACCTAATTAAGCTTAAGAACATATTACAAAAATAATAATATTATACTATATCTCATAAGAATAACTTGTACTAAGAAAATCAATATACTTATTGTGTTATTATTAAAAAAGAAACTTTATAGGTTTTGGCTTAGAATAATAACGCATACAAATCTAGTCTGCACACGCTAAGTGAGGTAAATTGAAGCGCTCCCAATGGGCCTACACGAGCGGGCGGGCCGTCAGTGCTCAAGGTCAACTTGCACCGCGAACAGCTCCAGAATTTTAGCTAGAAATGACGAAATGTGCGGTAACTGAGTGTAAAAATACGTCAGACAAACATAAAATAGATACTAACATCACATTCCACAAGGAAGTAACGCGTTTCAACTTGTATTTTTATATAAATATTCACTAAAACCGAAAATTAACCTACTACTAAAACTAGCCTACATGAATTGAACAAGTGAATAAATAAACAGTCTTTGTTTTTAAAATGTTTATTTGAATTTGTCAAGACAAATTTTATATTGAACAATTGAACAAGTGAGGCAAAAATCAAAATTTTTGCCTCACTTGTGGCAGTTCGTTTGATATGAAACTATCCTTCTATAATAAATAAATAAAATAAATAAATAACGCACACTCTCAACATCTATCTATATCTATGCGTTATTATTCTAAGGGTTTTGGTGAAAAGTTGCAACTTTTGAGTTAACGTAAGGTTAAAGACTTGTCTGATGGATTAATGATCATTTACCTTTCTTCCAAATTATTTTTTCTTGCCATTTTTTCCGAGAAGTAGTTTCCCAAAGATTCCCCGTTTTGCAGTAGCACAAACTCAAACCGTCTTGTTTTTGTCTTTTTGTTTTCGTGTTTGTCTTTATTTCTAGCAGCGAAGTGCTAGAAATAGACACAAAAAAACAATATTTTTTTATAAAGCAAAGCAAAAGTTCACAATTTGCCAGCGTTTAGCTATTACAAAAAACAAGTTCAGCTAGCTTTTTATTTGGTATTGTAACGATCAACCAGTTTTAAATTATTTTTTGTAAGGACCAATTAATTACATTAATTACAATTGTAGATGGAATTGTTTAGATTTAAGAATAACTTATTTTTATAACACACAAATTAAATCATTTGTATAATTATTTTGGTTTTTATTTCCACATAAATTTAGTGTAGCTTCATCTTGAATAATAAAATCCAAGAAATTAAAGCATTTTTATATCTAAAATATACCAATAATAAAGATGGAACAAAATACAATAATTCTGGGGTTTCAGAGAGAGGTATTATGCACTCTATGTGTGTCACTTCCTTATAGTTAAATTAATAATTACAAGCTGACTGCGATGTCGTGTAGCAACACAATTAATTATGAGTTAGTATCATATTAGAAACACGACAATAGATTTAAAAGCGTTATGGCGATAACTATTTCCATTTAAATAAAAAACAATAATTTAGTTCCTTTTATTTAGGACATTGTCTTCTTTTTAAAAATGATATAGCTCTGTCGATACAATCGATGATTCCGCCAACTTCAAGTAAGACACGCGTTTATTACTCAAAATTTGACCGGAAAATTTCGGTGATACACTTCGCTGAGAAGAGGATCTACAACAGCAGACAACACACGCATGCACAAATTACAGAAACAAATTGTTCCTTTTAATATATTTTAAACCATTTATTTTCACACACATAATAATAATAATAATAAAAAAACTTTATAAATAATAATAATAATTTACAGAAATGAGGATAAACAATGTATAATTACGCAATTTACTGAATTAATGAATTATTTAAAAAATAATAATATAAAATTAAAAAAATATATAATATGTGTGTGACGGACACGAGCTTAGGGAAATGCTGAAATCACTTTGTAGTGATTTCAGCCCTGATTTTCAGCTCGACCCGACCATGGCAGCTCTACGTTGTCGATCACACACACAAATCGCAAACAAACATCAATATTATTTATCTAACAATAATAATAATAAAATGAAATAATCATAACAATGACAATAAACCAATAATAATATTAACAAATCTAAAATTATGAATTATCTTAAATTATTAATTAAATTATCTCAATTCTATACAATTATTTAAAAAATAGTTTCTATAGACATTCCATAGACATCGCACAGAGTCTTATTTTTCCCTTTATTTTGCGTTTCATAAAAGCACTCACTTTTGAACCACCAGCATATTCCTCCTTAGATGCATTTTCGGGCTCAAAAGGGATAATATACATATAATTCATTCATTTATCGTCACTTGATATTATATATAATATCAAGTGACGGGACAAACAAGTCGTGTGGCTGATGGTATAAGCTACACGCTTGTTTACGCTTGTAACAGTTGCAGTGCCGTTTTAGACCGCAAAAATCTGAGGGACAGAGCCACTGCGCCCGTCACCTTGAGACATAAGTTGACAAGTCCCATCTGCCTGTAATTTCTACAAAATTACATCGGACATATATTATATGTATAACGGGGGAATGGGCTACATTAAATATTTTTATTTGGTACAGTCAAAAGCACGTCCAGCTTGACACTTTGTACTTTGGACCGTTATTATCGTAAGCGGCATAGAGTTAGATTTAAATCTTAAGTGTCAAGCTTGACGTACTCTTGACCCTGTACTTTTTTCCATCCTCTAACCGTGTACCATGATTGTCTTTTTGATAATTTCTTGCTCGTCTGACCAGTTTGTTTACAAACAGGTTTTAATATATAAGGCATCCACAATGGCAGTGTTAATTTGAAATTCATAATGTTATAATTTATTAATAAAATGCATAATTATTTCAAATAATCTCTGTACAGAGTACTAAAGAAACCGACCTCAAAAGTCATTAATCCCCTAGTTTGCCACCCTTAGAGTATTCGACGTCTTTTTGCATACCGTGCCAGACGCTATACCAACTAAGCCACGGAACGAACCAACGGACCTCACGAATTTTTCTATGTGCTTGCGTCGTGTCTTTGTACTTGGTCTTTCAACGACTTTTTAGTCGTAGCGCCATCTATGAGAAATCTATGACAGATTTATCACCCAGTTAGTACCTTTACAGCTACCAGTCCTGGCGAGAGATGTCGCTATTCACTGTATTTTCTGAGTGTTCTATCCTTGTTCTACAAGGATATAACACTCAGAAAAAATTCTTTCGCTAGTATTAGCGGAATATTTTATGCAAATTTAAATGGGACTACTGCTCAGGTACCCTCTTTCCAACAAAAAAAGAATCGTCTAAATCGGTTCACGAATGCGAGTTACATATAAATAAAGCTGTCGAATTGAGAACCTCCTCCTTTTTCAAGTCGGTTAAACGCAATATTAATGAATCGCAATCATTTACTGAATTAAAAAAATGGTGGGCAACCCGGCCTGGAGGCAGGGCTCCGTCATTCGCTCGAGGGTACTCGTTAAATGCCTACCGCTGAGTGTATCGCCGGCAGTGCAAGTGCTCAGAGGGTCTTGCACACACATCTGAATGAACGTACAGCAGGTTTCGTAAGAAAAATCGACGCAACGCCGCAATCGCGAAGTTATGTTCAGTTATGAAATTTACCTTAAAAACAAAAATTACTTCAGTACATATTACGAGAGAAGATCAAAGCTACGAAAATTGTAAGAAAAAATAACCATCTGGCAACACAACACAATATTGATTCGGTATCGTTGTCATATTGTTTACAAATGTACAAAATAGCGGATTAAGAGGTTTTCTGACAACAGATTACAATAACAGTTGTTTAAAAATCGCATAACATTGTAATGAATTTTGACAAACAGCTGTTTTTTTAATCGTAATCAATTGAAGCGATCTCCTTAAAAATCAAGTCGTAATGTGCATCC